TTGTCATACCTCCCATCTGGAGTAACCCATAAAAAGCAGTTGTGAACATTGCTTTCATAAGGGATATTACATGTATATGCGGGTCTTGTATCACTAGATAGAGAGCCTCCAGTAGCTTCTGTAATATTGGAAGTGTTATTGGGATCCCACATTGCACTGGGGTTTGGAGTTGGAGTTCCGTGCCTTGGAGAGTTCATTTTACAGTGCATGAATCTGTCGGGTTGAGTATGTTTGCTATTTTGTATTTATAGTTTAGTGCGTATACTTGAGTTTTGAATTATTGTAGCTGGTACCTTTCCCTTAAAAATTGGACGAATAGCGGTGTCACTGATACATGTGCCGGGAATGCTCCAGAAATGCTCCCATGAAAAAAGGAAAACGGCCGCACTTACTGAAAGCTGGTCCCACTACTAAAAGAAATGAAGTAGATTAATGATAAAGACTGAATAGTGTTGAAAATGACATTTAACATAATGTGTGCGCCTGAAATATCTACATTTAAAATATAATTTCCAAAGAAAATGTGCACACATTTCAATTTGTGGGGTTGCAAAGAGACATTTCCAAAATGGCGGTATTAAGGGATTGAATTTTTGGTGCCCATGCACCACAAAACTAAGAGTCATACAAAACGGCGCTATAACCGCGTCTGCATAAAGACGCTAGGTGGTTGGTCCTTCCCAGTCGTCATCCTGGAATAAACCTTTCCTTTAAAAATGTCAGGAAAGATTGACACATCAGGAAATCGGCTCTGGCTTCTTTATTCACGCGGCCCTAGTGGTGTAGTTGTAAGACTGCGTAAGAAAGATCTCCCACAAGGAACTGTGTATACCGTAGTAACAGAAATTAAACAATTTTATTATGGATTTTAAGTCTCCCAAGGAAATTTTCTTTTTGTGCATGTAGTGAGTTACGTTATGGAGACTTGTAGCATTTTTTCTTGGGGGAGTCTTGCCTCCTGCTTAATTGAGTCAATTTCAGTGCGTGCAAAATTTACGGTTGTGATACGTTTTTTTTTTTCAATGCCTATATCCTCGCACAATTGCAGGACACTGCTTAATTTTTTTATCAGTCGTCGTATCTGTAGTTTACAATCAGAAAACTTCAGTCAGAACCCTCAGTGGATCTTAGGCCCGTACTCGTAGCCACCACGTGCACATTTCGAGTTGTCTCCAGTAGGTTCGTTCCAAAAAAGAAGAAACAGCAGGGAAATTTCGTTTTATTCACCATCTTTCACATCCATCTGGTCAATTAGTGAATGATGGCAACGTCGAACGTTTTACCGCAGTGCATCATGCCACAGCGGGGTGCGCTATCAAAATTAATTAAAGAATTAGACCATGGGATATTTCCAGCAAACTTGACACTGAAAATGTCTGTCGCACATGTCCTGGGATTTAAAGTTAGCGGGCAATTCTATTACGACAATATCAATGGCTTCAGCTTGCTCTTGGCAGATTTTTGGGGCTTTTAGTAATTGATCATATACCATATACATGTAGCCTGGCAGGGGCGGATCCAGAGATATTTTCTGACAGTCTTCCAAATTATTTTTGTTAATACATCCTCCATTTTTGACCGTCTTCCGACAGAAAATATTAGATAGCCGTCAATGTAAACTTTAAAATCTGACCGTCTTCCGGAAGACCCAGAAGACGGCCTAAATCCGCCCCTGCCTGGTGCCCGATGAATCTGTCAATTATGTCACCTACATACATGCACAGTATGACACTGGTGTAACTCCAAGGACCAGAATATCATTTCCGAAATTCCGAAAGTTTACTTTATTCTTTGAGTTCAAAATAAACATTTGCCGACATACAGGGTTTTATCGGCCTTAGACTACTTGTTTTTTTACCGGTATCCAACATCGAGCCAGGCATCGCTCCGGCCAAGTGAAGAAAAAAAGCGGAAAGAAGTGCGCTAGTATAGGTCTTAAGTGATACAAGTGCTGTGACGAGAAACAAAATATCTTTTTCTTGGCATATATAGGCCTACTGCCCTACCAAAAACAAAATGTCACCCCTAACCCATTTATGTACATTAATACCAGGGTACGCATAGATTTGATTTTGATTAGAAAACCAGTTATCTCTTACATTTAAAAAAATGCGGTTCTTATGTGAGTGGGATAAAATTTTTGACCATATAGTGGACACAGAAGAGAGTTTCGGACCCGAGGATAACAAGAAGGTTGGGATTTTTCATAAAAACTATTTAGAGGGTAAGACAACGTGAAAGTCGATCAGGCATATGGCTAAGATTGCAACGGTCAGGCCAACCGAAAGAGGCCACATAGAGTGAAGAGACGAAGCCTTGCTCTTACAGGACGCCCCATGCCAGAGAAAGTCAACTGCATTATTTAAAGGGATAACAACTGTTCGCTAAAAAAAAAAAAAAAAACGGATATTCCTGTTGTAAACAAGGATTTTCCCATATTTTCCAATGGTAAATAAATCCATTTCGACATAAAAAATAGGTCATGTTTTTTTCTTAAAGTTTGTTTTTTTTAATGTAATTATCTCTTAAGAGATTATTACAAAGGTATAGCCATCTATGCAAGCCCACGTCATCTGATGGCAAGCATATATTTCCATAAGTTTTTTTAGAATTTTTTGATTGTGAAATCTCATACGAACAGTTCATATCCCTTTCACCGAAATAGGACTATCAATGTTTCTGAGATTACCGTCAGAAGTCGCCTGCACAACGGACGTTATTTTAACAGGGTTGCCGTTTGGAGAACAACGGTCGTCGAGTCAGATGGTACCAGAACTTCTGCATAGTCACCAATCCCAATCTGGTGAATGATACTGGAGATTCAATATTGACAGAGGTGATTGATGCCTAAGGGAAGCATATATATAGATCCAAGTACAGCAAATAAAATAGTGCAATGTCTAGATCAGTACATCATTGAAAATGCATGAGATATACTTGGGAGAAGATTGCCGAGAGTTAACCCTGCAAACAGAAATGAGCTCATTCCATCTTTGCACGTTATCTCTGCAAACGTTTAAAAAACTTTTTACTCCATGCACAGACTTGTCAAGTGCGTTTTTCAATCCACAGAAAACAGTACAATTTACTCAGATGTGACTTCGATATTTCTAACTTTGGTAACTTTATCCATTAGTTGTATAATAAGAAGAATTCCGAATAGTGACTATTTTGTATCTGATATCACTTTCGGTATGCAGTACAACTTCTAACATGTAAAACTGTTTGCCTACTGGTAATACTGTGAACGTTAATAGTTTCTGATTTTTACATTTTTCTATGCATTCTTTGTCGAAAGGACTTTTATACGAATGAATATACTAGTACGGATGCCCTGAAAAACTATGCCCCATCCCAAGATCAGCTAAAGACAATTCTGGCACGTTGAATACAGGTAATTAGGTACAATCACTTGCCCAACGATTGCCTGTCTCCCTTGTTTGTGATTTTTAGTTCAGATAAGAGGCTGTCAGAATGTCGCCTTAGTCATGGCATTAGTGTGCATCACAGTGTAAGAAGTCTACTAGTTTGATGTTATATGGCATTTACATCAAGTTGACCGTCTCACATTAATGAACAGAAAAATTAAACAATGCACAGGGATCGTCATTTATTACGAATTGTTAAGTGCGATCTACTTCCTGGACCCTTTAAAAGGCCTATCGTAGTCATTTGCAGCACATGCCATCAAACGCCAAACAATACTTTCATATTGACATCTAAGGTTGTTAACATTTGAAAAATACGAATGACACAGCTTTACAGCCTCCCAAGTAATTTTTCCATGAAATTCTTTTTCGCACTGTCGGTCGATGCAACAACTTATTTGAAAACAAGTAGAAAACAAAATAAGCCCAATTTTACACCTGGGGTTTGACGCACAATGATTGTAATTTGTTCTCTTTGGGTTACTATTAAAATCAACGACTAAAAGAAGCCTATCGACATTCACCTGTAGCTTTGTTAAAAATGGCGACTTGCCTTTAGCGATGTCGAGAGTCCTTTCGTGGTGTCGTGGCCGACATAAAGTTACCACGTCACACAAACGGGATTGATGTCGCCAAATAGTCCTTGTGTCATGTGGCGGCTTCTTTGAATAACACAGAGATAAATTTATTAACTTGGTAGTTTAAAACGTAATTATGAATTTCGGTCTGATAACTTTCTTAATGTCGGTTACGACATCTTCCTGTCGATTTCCTTATTTTATGATAATTGAGCAGAGATTATGATCTGTGCCCCGGCATTTAATAGAGATAGCTGTGCAAATAACTGGCTTGTCATGGGGACGTTAAAAATTTGTGCGACCGCTTTCTGCGCAGTACCAATAATTATATAATTATACTTTCTATTTATTATTCGTAATGCCAGTGTTACTATGACTGGTTATGCGTCCCTGGGACTGTTACATTGTGAAATATTTCACCACTGAAATGTTGGTGGCGATGGCAGTTATTATACATTCTACCACCCCTGGAAGCTTTTGATTAACTTGCCTATATCGTTGATCATAGGTTGACCTGTTTTTTGCCCAGAGCTAATTCGATGAAAGGTACATACAAATGTAAACAAGGTCGGTAGCGGGTCCTTTTCTTTCTTTTTTTTAACAAATGATATTTAACAAGCATAAATTAGCTTAAATTCCAGGCCGGTGTGTGTTTCAGTTTTGATAACTGGGGCTGGCATGTTTAATTCACAGTTTGGTCGCTTTCACAGTTAGAGTTGTATGCCATGTGTGACAAATCTAAACAACAAGTTCAAATGTACTTTTACGTCACTATCACGCCTTCCTCCAAATTCCACATTGCTAGAAAGTTCCTTTTCGTTTGACGCACATAATGGTCCATTACTATTCATACTGTAGCTCAGATTTATACATCGCGATGATTCACAATCTTATCAGTCAATCATTACGGTCATTAAGCAGAGAAGCGCTGATTAGGTAATTATCGCATCGGTCAGTCTTTTCGGCAACCATACTTTTCGTCGGGGTGGGGGGATTGGATAAGAAATAAAAGGCCGTACATGTACCTGTAGCTACCATTCAAAGGCCGAGGGGCTTCGGACTCGAAACAAATGTAAATTGAAGTATTTTTAAGAGACATTTATTTTGAAATTAACATTTGATATTTGAAGAGATCGACAGGTCATTGGCTCATATTGTACGACAGACAAGGTTTTAAGTTGCTGTATATGCATTTATTTGAAGGTACATGTATATCGTTAAGCGTTGTTTGGGGTTTTATTAATCATAGCAATACGTATTTGGGTTTTTTCATTGTCTATTTGGATTTCATCGATGTGAATTTTAAAAAGGAGGCTTCTTAATATTAAGTCCTCGTAAGTTTTAAGGTTGCTCTGACATTATTACGTCTTGGGAGGAGCACATTGTTCGGTAAGGTTCTCCTTAAGCACGGGTTGTTGCCAACATAATTTCAAACGCTTTATTTTTCAGTAAAGACAATGGCGACACAGCAAAAATGTGCTTACAGCGCGTTCCTCCCGACATTTTTCGATAAATTTGGTGGAAGTTACCCTCCTCGCTCAGTTTTCCACAACTGGCCGACATGTTTCCAAATCTATCAAGATGTCTGCCTTGAAATGCCTGAGAAGTTATACACTCTCAACAGTTCAGAGAAGTTCAGGGAATGGATGACGGAGGAACTAAGCGGGGTAAGTACGATTTGATGAAATTCAAAACTCTCTCTCGCATCATGTACACTTTAGGCTTTCGAGCTAATTTTATCAGTTTGAAATTTTATAAAGGAAAGTTCAAATATACCACAATATTATTTGATCTATTCGTATTCTTTCCAACATGCTCTCATAAATGTTTATCCAGTTATATATCCATTAATTCAGGTCGATTTGTTGAAAGTTGGCGAAGCCATCACGTCGCTGATTAACACGGAGTGTATCCCGGTGTTGACGGGCTACCTGGCCTGTCTGAGCTACCTGGCACACGCCTATCGCTGGGGCACAGTACCAACCACGAGCCTGGAACGGGAAAGAAGCACTCTCGAATTCCCGGACTGCCTCTGGGACCCTTTTAAAAAGGTAATACAGTAATCTAAAGTAAAATTTCTTGAATCCGTTCAAGCTAAATAAGACCGGGCTATCCTGGGTGCTCCTCAGCAAGCTGCCAGCCAAGCGGTGACAGGTGACCTTGGTTGGCAGTGAAAGAGGCGCACTATTGATAAAAAGATTTTTGACTCAAGATTAACGCCTTTTTTCTTTTACTTTTATTTAAAAATTTTACCTTTGACAATGCTTTTTCTGATAACTTTTTTTACAATTTAATTCCCTTTTTTATTTAAGCTGATAATTTTGGCGTATTTAATTATCAATTCCTTAATGTCTCAATTTGGATATTAAGTATGTTAATTTTTTATTAAAACATTCAAGGAAATTTTATTATTTTTTCCAATTTCATGAAAAACAGGTAAATGATTATTTTGGGCTTCCATATCGTGGCAACCACTTTTCACTCATGGCATGCAACGCAATTTTTGATAAAAATGGATCGCCTGTGGGTATGAAGTTCAAGTGGAATTTTGACCCAGAAATAGCGTACCAGGAAAGTAACTTCATGTTACTGATGGCAAAAGCCGAGTGTGAAGTCCCTCCCATCCTTGGTGCTTTCGGAGAGTATTTGGATTTGCTTCAAACCTTCACCACCGCAGACGACAGGAGTGACGTGGAACAGCAGATGATCGAAAAGGTGTACCTCGCAAAGGGGCACCTCTCGGCACTTCTTAAACAGGCCAATAAAATAATGCACGACAGTTTCATTTCAAGAGAGGTCTTTGCACCGCACATCCAGGGAATGATTGCATGGGGATTAAGCACGGACGTTGGGTCGTCTGCTGCGGAAAATCTCATTTTCCAGGCACTCAATGTGTTTTGCGACATGGAGGGTGCGAGCGAAATGAGTCGTTTTGGAATGAAGACGCGGAAGAGCATCCCAGACACCTCCAGGCTTTTATTGAAGAAGCTTGAAGAGAGCACTAAAGGAAATCTCTTTCCTACAGAGAAACTGATCCAAGCCAAAGCTGACTTGATTACGGTATTTTATGCCTTTATTTTGGGACATGCGCGAAAGGTACCCGACTACATAGCTAAAAGTCCAATGACTGCATCCAGATTTTTATTAAAAGATTTGGTATCCAACTTCAAGCGTAAAATGAAGGAGCGGTGCGACGAAGTTTTATTTGTTCGAAACAAAGCTTTGGGCAGATCAGCTGACAACGCCATCAACGGCAGTGGAATCGAGAAAACCTTTGCGTGGTCTTGGAGTAAGGCGTTGTTTTATTGTCGAAAGGCTCTCGTGATGAGGTCTAATTGTCGATTGCCAATTTGGAATTATTCTCATCTGTTAATTTTTGCTTTCTTATGTTTGTTATGCCCAGTTATCTTTCTGTGAGTGTCAAAACCCCTTTTGTTTACTATGACTGTATTTTGTAAAGACATTCCATGTGCACATCAAGTGCATGTGCAGATTTGACTGAAAAACACCCATTTAAAGCGAATTTTGACCGTTTTGATGATTTCTTGATATATCCTACAAGTTTTGCAGTAATTCTAAACACTGAAAAAAATCGTTTTCTATAATTGATCTTTTGTTCGTTTCCGATGAAATTCATTGTTCTTCACAAAATTACAAGAAAACAGCTTTTACGATCATGTGATAAAGACTCCAAGACTGAAACACACGAGTCGCCCTCAATGCAAGGATCAAAGGTTTAATGAAGATGCATATTTAGAGTGTATATCTGTAATGTCTTAGTGGAGGCTAAGAAAACCAGTGTAAGGTACATACACTGTAGTCAGATCCATTATGTATTGTATTATGGGTTCAGGGTTCATAAATTTAGTCCTATAGGCCTAGTAATGACGTTTGTTTGCTTGGACCGGATTATGATTGGAAACTTGACAATAATAAAATATTAATTCAAAAAATTTGCGAATAAAGTTATATGGAATACATGTTTACATTATTTTTTTGTCCATTGCATTCTAATTTGCTAAGTTTTCTTATCTTATTTAGCCTGTTCTGGTATGGTCTCAATATGAAGATTATCTCTTCATCCAGGCTTGGATAATTATACGACAAATTAAAGAACCCAGTTGATATTGGCCTTCTGGTTTTATCTTAACGTCGGACATGCAACCCAAATTCACTTTGTTGTTTTATTGTACTAAAAAATTCTGTGACTTACAAAATAACATTAAAACAAAAGAACCAACAGAAGCAAGCTATTTAAATTAAATTATGATACATGTATATTGACAAGCACCTACCTTAAGAAGTCGAAACACCCTGTTGTATTTTAATACATAATTGGAAAAAAATCAAGATAAGTTCCAATTATGCAAATTATATTATATAAAATCCAAAATAAATAATGCTCTATTGGTTCGGCACTCGCTTCGTCCGAACTTCTTTCTCTTTCCTTCCCCGCCCGCCACCGCTACTGAAAATAAAAGATGTGCTTGATTTGAAACAAACATTTAAGCACACCAAATGCATTTAGACTGAATGCCATTTGAATATCTGCCATCAGAAAATAACTCCTCGCGTGAATTCACAAGCACGGTGTTTGCCCTGCTTTTATTTTGTTGTGCGCAGTCGTAGGCCTACGTCATAGAATTTTGACATGACAGTAAAAGGCGTAAAGGCGTATTGTAGGCGTTTGTAAACTTCCCAATTTCGTATTTTCTATGTCCACATAAATTGCAAAGCCGCTATTCCATCATTCAAAGCTAGTCGATTGTCAGAGAATTATTGGAGATATTGGAGGTAAAACTATCTCAATATTAGCTGTTGACTGAAGAAAAAAATCACATCATTCTTAGTCGATTGTTTTTTTTTAAGTGTGCTTTTGTAATATGGAAGATAACCATCAGTAAAGGTCCCCGTGGTTCGATGGCAAGTCCAGATTTCAGAATAATTGCGATAACCGCCGTTTAAGTGGTAAAATGGAATTTATTATATTTCTGTGTGTTGTTTACAATATATTTACTGTGGTATTTTGAATTTCATTTTCATGAAGATTTGTTAGCTCTTTGACAACACAATATAATGATTATTTGCTTTGGGATTTGTGCGGTGTGGATATGGACATATGTGCAGACTGTGAATTTTATACCGGTGTAGCATGAATCGTTCGGAGCGTGAACCATCCGTTCTGCTCATGCGCACAAAGCGCAGGCAAATCTGAGAGACTTCTGGCGTGTTAAGTCCGTCTCTTTCGATTCATCAATACATTATGCTTGATTTATATTAGATTTATATTAGATTTGATGAGTAGAATTGTGCAACAGATGATAAGAAACACGGAGTACGATTTTTGTGATCAACGAGCGGGATATCATGATGCCAGACATTGTCACATAATCATAAGTACATTCTTAGACTTTAATAAACATACTCTGTTGAGAACATACTGCAAAGTCAAAAATAATCTTTAAAAATATTAATATCTTATAATTGTTCACCTCTACTGGTGATATCAACACACAAGCCTAGTAAAATCAATACAATAATACATGTAGTAGGCCAACAGCTGGATAACGACGGCCCGTCCACGGTAGGTTCAACCATGCGTCGAACTGTAATTTGACGCTGAAAATTATCAATTAAAAATTCTGTATTAACACATGAATTTTACCTAGAAATATCTCCATTATATTAAATATATGATGAAGTAAGAAACGAAGAAGCCACATAAATGCACTAGCATAGTATAACAGTGCAGGTGAATAACAACGGATCATTCACGGAACAGCTCATACACGCGTCTGCTGCGTGTACAATCGGTTAGGAAAATGGTTCACGCAGAACAGACCGTACACGTGACACTGGACTTTTAATGTGCCGTAGCGATTGGATAGATAGATGGTCTTAATTCCAACAAACCACATCAACACGCCCCAGTCGTTTTGAGATCGTTTTCGCTGGGATAAGATAAGAATTAATATTTTGTAATCCAGAGGAATATTCCGAAACATGGAAAAATAGAATAAAGTTAATGTTAATTTAAATTTTGTTGACTTTTTTACGTTTTGATTTGGTCTATCTTTGTTGATTATCAAGTGCGTTAGGAAAATGGTTCACGCAGAACAGACCGTACACGTGACACTGGACTTTTAATGTGCCGTAGCGATTGGATAGATAGATGGTCTTAAGAGCTTGTCCACGAGAGAACCAGCCCAGGGTGGCAAGGTGGGGGTCAGCAGATTTCAACCAAATTTGTTGTATGGAGGCATATTAGGAAGTTATTCATGAGTTAGGAAGGAATCCCAAAAATATCCTTTCTTCAGAGAATTATAGCCTATTATAAGTCATGGCTTATGTAGCCTCTTTGAGANGTGTGAACAGCTACTGGTTTTGTAATCAGACTTTACTGATATGCAATCAAACTTTGTTGTAGGCTAAACTTAGTAGGCCTACAAATATGGAGAGCACCTAATGTTTTTTTAGCGCTTTGCCTTCAATTCCTTTGAATAAACATTGTTAAAAAAAGTACAAATATACATTTTAAAATTAAATGAAATTCTTTGCAGAGAAAATATTAGGGACCTCACGCAGAAAGCAGATCGCCGTCAAATGTTGATCAATGTACTCGTTTGAAAACCTAATACCGGTGAAGTAACTAGAGGCTGACTGTTGATAAAATGCGTCTAGATCACCTTAGATTGTTGGTCATGGTAATAATGACATTCCTCGCCGGTCTTTCCTTAATACATGTCGATTATATCTTTCGGGTTCATGGTTTGAAAACATTCATATTACACTTTTTGATAAAAAAATCTGCATCATGTTAATTACTTGTTTGTTTTCAAAATGGACATCTGCGATTTTTAATCCCCTATATCGGCATAACTATAAGCAACTGGTCCCTGAAGACAGCTTGCATTTGGAGTTGTTGTCACATTATCGCTGTCGACTTTTCGTTTTTACGTTGGGAAGTGGCTATGAACAGCCATTGTCCCAATCTGTCTCAAAATTAATCAAGTAGTGTTATATTGAGAAGATAATAGAAAATAGGACGTCTTCGTAAATACATGAAGTTAGGAATGAACAGATATGAATATAGATGATGAAACACGTTTTATTACGAATAATTCAACAGATCGTAATATTCACGAATGCAAACGAGTCCATCAGACAAAGGCTATAGAACAGGCTTTTTCAGTCTCCCTATTCAAATCGATTAAGTATGCAAAATATCTACACACAATACATTTGTACATACAATTCGATCAAAGCCTACGGGGGTTAAACATGTCTTATAAAGCAACAAATTGAAAACAATACAATTAATTGAATACAGTTAAAACGTAATGTTGATCGCCATAGATTTATATCAAACTAATCAAGAATCGGATCTTGACTAATAAACAAGTAAAATGAAGTGAATGAAGTTCTGTGATAAGCAATATAATATAAAATGGCAATGTAAAATGATATCGAAAAAACACCGAAATTAGAGATTGATTAAGAAACCGACATTGGTTGCAATGAATTTCAACATGGACGAGCGAAAGCTTAAATAAAGCAATTGTTTTGATAATTCTTATTTCGATTGCAATACTTGAAGCTTAAATTGGAAATTTTAGGAAACCATCAATCTTGATCAAATAAGCTTTAAAGGAGAATTTCACTCATATGATGTACGATTATTATCTTCAAGTTGAATCTCAATCTGTGACTTGCAAATGGACTGTTTTGATAGTATATAGCCAAATATAAGTTGCGTTTTGCAATACGCACTGCAAGATTAATGGAAATAGTAAATATATCTATAAAGAAAAAAAAGAAAATGAAAAAATTAGTAACTCAGGAAAATAAAATCAGTATTGTCAATAGTTTCAAATTAGACTTCAGGATTGCCTTTCCCCAACAAAACAACGCCTTACTCCAACACCACACTTTGTTTTCTTCGATTCCATTGTCGTTATTGTTGTTGTCAGATGATCTGCCTTGAGCTTTCTTTCTGGCAGATAAAACTTCGTCGCACCGTGCTTTCATTTGACGCCTAAATTTGGATACCAAATCCTTCTTCAAGAACCCGGACGCAGTCATTGGACATTTGGCTATATAGTCTGGTACCTTTCGCGCATGCCCCAAAAGAAAGGCATAATATACCGTAATCAAGTCTGCCTTTGCTTGGGCCAGTTTCTCTGTCGGAAAGATATAACCTTTTGTGCTCTCCTCAAATTTATTTAATAAAACCCTGGAATTTTCTGGAATGTTCTCCCGCGTCCTCTTTCCAAAACGACTCATTTCGCTCGCACCCTCCATGTCGCAAAACACATTGAGTACCTGGAAAATGAGATTTTCAGAAGCAGACGACCCAATGTCTGAGTCTAATCCCCATGCAATCATTCCCTGGATGTGTGGTGCAAAGACATTTCTTGAAATAAAACCGTCGTGCATCTTTGTGTTGACCTGTCTTATAACTGCCACGAGGTGTCCTTTTGTAAGATACACCTTTTCGATCATTTGCTGTTCGACGTCATTCCTGTCGTCTGAAGTCGTGAAGGTTTGAAGCAAATCCAAGTACTCTCCGAGAGAACTGAGGACGTTAGGGGCTTCACACTCGGTTTTTGCCATCAGCAGCTTGAAGTTATTTTCCTGGTTCGCTTTGGCTGGGTCATAATTCCAATTAAACTTCATACCTACTGGCGATCCATTTTCGTCATAAATAGCGTTGCATGCCATCAGTGAAAAGTGGTTGCCACGATATGGAAGCCCGAAATAATCATTTACCTGTTTTTCATGAAATTGGTTGAAAATAAAATCTTATTGAAAATTTCTGTATAAAACAACACAAAAAAATACCCAAATCGAGACATGAAGCAATGGACAAATAAATATGCTCTATTACTCGTGTTGCTCTGCCAGTAAAAGAAGAACTGGGTGAGAATTTCATAAAATGTCATATTTTTTAAAAATAATATATAAGGTTAATGATTATTATAGGTTGCTATACGCAGAATAATTATCGCGTGTAATGTAATTTCCCTTTCATTAGATGTGTGTAATACCTTTTTAAAAGGGTCCCAGAGGCAGTCCGGGAATTCGAGAGTGATTCTTTCCCGTTCCAGGCTCGTGGTTGGTACTGTGCCCCAGCGATAGGCGTGTGCCAGGTAGCTCAGACAGGCCAGGTAGCCCGCCAACACTGGGATACACTCCCTGTCAATCAGAGACGTGATGGCAACATCAACTTTGAACAAATCGACCTGAAAAAATATATAACTGGATAAACAATAATGAGAAAGAATGAAAGAAATAAAAAAGAAAGAAATAGAAATAGAGATACAAATAAAAGAAGGATGACAAGACATAAAAATCCTAATTATCTTGAATAAAAAATCTTGAAGAACATAAAAGAGATTTTTCTGTTGTGCGTATGTTTATGTTAAAAAGAACGGTTTGAAAATCAAACGTAATTTTTACCGTTTGTATATCAAACAATAAGAACGATTATCTACTCATGATAAATAGGCATATTTTGACACCGTTTTAAGCGAGTGTGTGTGCGCGTGTGTGTGTGTGTGCGTGCGTGTTTGTGTGTGTTTACGTGCGTGAGAGAGAGAGAGAGGGTGAGAGAGAAAGTGTGATTCGCAAACTTAACTTTGAATTAAGACAAATTACACTTATGATACTGACCCTGTCAAGTTTCTCTGTCATCCATTCCCTGAACTTCTCCGAACTGTTGAGCGTGTATAACTTCTCAGGCATTTCAAGGCAGACATCTTGGTAGGTTTGAAAACATGTAGGCCAGTCGTGAAAAACTGGCCGAGGAGGGTAACCTCCACCAAATTTATCGAAAAATGTCGGCAGGTGCGCGCTGTAAGCACTTTTTTGATGTGTCGCCATTGTTTTTTCACTAAAATAAAAAGGCATTGAAATTATATTGACAGGTTCCAAGCTTAAAGTGATAACAACGCTTTGAATGGCATCCATATTTCACAATTAATGCATAGAAAACACCCCATAGAGATATAATAAATTCATTTTTAAAAACCAAAACGGCGGTTATCGCAATTATACTGGAATCTGTGCTTTCCATTGGACCTCCATAGACGGCTTCCCTTATCTCTCGAGAGATTATTAGAAAAAAAAAAAAAAAACTCAGGCACTAACTTCGAATGAACGGATTCATTAACCATTGCTGAGTATGGGAAAATTGTCGTTTACCCCAGGAAAATCCTTTTTTGCCAAAATGAACAGTTGTTATCCTGTTAAGGAATATCCTACGCCACTAAAAACAGCTACACTGTAGTTCTGTAATACAGCAAAATATCATCAACCCTTTGAAGTTATCAGGACTTAGTCTTTGTAAATTCTTTTTAAGTGTTTTTTTATTCATATCGATCATTGATTACAACAAAATAACATTGGTTTGAAAGCCCAAATATGCAACATTATGTTTAATAAAACATAAAACAAGAACGAACGATATAGGCCCTACCTTTAAAATGCATATGCAATATTATAAGCAGAATCAAAACCTTGTCTTCTGTACGATAGCTAATGTAATAACCCGTAAATATCAAATTTTTATTAAAAAATCAAAACAAATTTCGCTAAAAAATATCTAGCTTACCTGTTTCGAGTCAAGAGCTCTTCGACCTGTGAATGCAAGATACAGATAAGACCTTGCTTTATATAGTTTCACCACAATACTGTTTCGTGACCATAACCTACTGACCAATTTGTAAAATGCACGAATTGCGAAACCAGAAAACTGGGCCACTCCCCTGCACAATTATGAAATATGGGGCGGTTTACCCATGTGTGTCGAGTGATATTTAATCATCTGCCAAATAAGCTAAAATTTTAGCATTGAATGCTATCTGATTGAAACGGCGCCTTATGAGGTCGTGCAAAACTGAAAAAAAAAAATCACTCACAGATGTTTGTTTTCGTTCAGGAACTGTCCAGTGTAGATCAAGTCACAAGGTGTGACAAGGACTTTTCGCTGATTACGTTACATTACTACTCGATTATTATAATGAGGATACACGTGTCTTTATAACCCTTAGCGCCACCTTTTGTCTACAATTGCCGTAGTACACATTAAAATTGGTACACTGTACAGCCCGGGAGCCACTGAGCTGCCGCTAGGGGGACTTTAGGGAAACCGGAAGTTTACGTATTTTGAATTGACCAAAATTTCGAGTATTTAGAGGGTATCAAAAAGGGTGAAATATCTCAGCTATTAAGGTACCAAATGCATCATTATTTATATTCACATTTTTAAAAATAAATTTCAAATAAGCTGAGATGCGCCTTGAGTTGATCCAAAGTCGCTTTTGTGTAAAAAAGTGAGTTTGAAATTAAAAATTTGTGAAAGCAATTACGCAAGTCCAACTTTAACGCNTGTTCTACAGTGTATGCCTCTGATTCCCGCCATATTTTCTCAAGGCGAAGCGGGCCTATTTGAAAACGAGGCTACTATCTAATAATTGGGAAAATAACGGTCATATGGGCCAGTGGCTCCCCGGCTGTATATTGTGTCCTTGGTTTACTCTACCCAGCACACTGCACACAGCAAGCACACTGTAAGGAGAGCGTATATGAATCACGTCGGCGATGCATGCATTTTGTGTAATATTTACATTACCACTTTTTAGTTACTGTTGATTTCTTGTCGTATTGGATTGCTCGATGATAAACAGCAAAAATCGGGCAAGTCAAAAATTATGCCAATGTGTTCGTCATGATCTATGCTTACTTTTTTTTGTGAAATTACCCTCGTATCATTACGGGCATGCTTTTTATTCAGGTGCCCAATTTTAACCCCCCCCCCTTCCCACTAGTAGTTTTTTTTATTTAATCTCGAGAAAAGCCGCCACAGAAATTGATTTTATTATTATTATTATTATTATTTTCTTTTTTTGGGGGGGTGGGGGTGGGGGGGTGGGGGTTTCGCACAATTTGATCGAGTGCTACTTGCGTGCACCCTTAGTAAAAAAATTAATTAATTAATTTTAAAAAAAACAATGTCTCAGCTGAACACATTTACAACACTTTTGTTTGTATCGAGTCACACTTGGTATCTTAATAAAAGATTCGGTATAGTTCTATTATGAAAGATAACATTGTATATATGCCCCGTTCTAAATACAAACTCCAGGCAAAATAGTTCTAAGTTTTTGCATTCAAATGATGGAACAATTGGCTGTCAGATTGTTTAAAAAAGTAAATAGGGCTTACATAAGATGTTTTTTAAATTGCTTAAGAAGGCAAAAAGTGTAAATTTGCATGTGCAAACATGTGATGTTTCTATTGGCCATTTTTACTTTTTATTAAGAATATGTTCTAATCATTTTTACTTTATCTCTTATTGTTTATAACTTATATAAGGTGTTAAATGTTTATCTATTTTATCATCATTATCTTTCAAATCCGCCCAAAGCGCAGTAGAGTTTGAGTTTTATAGTGTGCGCTATATACCGAAAAATTAAATTGACTTATGATTTGTATTTCGCGTCCAAGTCTCAAGGTAAAAAATGCTCTGTGGTGGGGAAACCACCTCGCGCATGCGCAGAACATTAAAAAGAAAGTTCGATATCAGGAGCAACTGCTCATGGACGGCGGGGACGTTAACGTGTTCGCTGGCATTCTTTCTGTCAGCCTTGCTAAATATGTCTTTGCATGGTGGGCCCAACGCAGTTCTCAGAACTTCAAGCTAGTTGGAAGAGTTTCTGGTTTGTACCTTCACCCAGTTAAGTCCTGTAAAGGGATTGACTTACTCGGTGCGGAATGCACTAAGTTGGGCCTGAAGGTCGGCGATGTTGGGGACAGGTAAAGCAAATAAACCCGATACGGCAAAATAACCTAGATCCTTAGTATGTAAATAAAGCCATGTTGTCCATAGGCAATTGACAGTAGTAATAGACTGCGGTAAAGGTTTAACAATGAGTGTGTTGGGGTGGGGAGGGGCGGGGGCTTGAATGAGAATCTTTTCGAAAGGGGGATTTTTATATACTGTAAACGGACCCGTAGACTACTAGTACCGTTTAGCATTTAGCGGGGATGTCACAAGAACAGTTATTTTAACGTTTGTGTACAACTTGCGACGATCCTCTAGATCTCCATAAATCAGCATTTTTAAAGAATTCATAACATGCTACAAAAATGTATAGTTTTGCCATTTTTATCAGCCTGATGCATCTAAAATACTTCTACATGCAACATATGTTTAGGATTGATTTGCAAGATACATTTTTTCACTTGAAGGATCATAAACGGACAATCTGTCTGCAGGCCAGTTATTCTTATTAACATTTGTGTTTCCAAAATTTTAGAAAAAAAACTGTTCAAAGTGATTGCCAAAAGCATGAATGTAAAAATCAGGATACAGCTGGATTAAATTAAAATGTAACAGAATTTGTGAAGTTCCTTTTGGGTTTGAGCAACATTTTTTCTAAACACTGCACTGGATGTAATGTTTACATTGCATATATACATGTATATATATATATATATATATATATATATATATATATATATATGTTGTGGCACTACACGTAAAATTTTTTTAACAGCTCAGTAGTATATCATTTACTAAACAGTGGGGAAAAAACTGATTATAAATACCAAATGGAATTTTCATTATTTCTCTTTTTCTTAGGCAGTGGATGGTAATCAGAAAGGATGAGACATTTGTCAGCATAAGAGAGGAACCATCTATGGTCTTTATAGAGGTCAGCATCCAGGGCAATTGTTTGCATCTTGATGCTCCAGGAATGGAGACACTGAAAGTGCCTGTTCATATGCCATTGAATACCACAGATGTCAGGAACTGCATGTAATTATGAAATGTGAATTAAGGGGTGGGAATAGGGTGCAATGGACAAAAACAAAATGTTATTTTTGCCAAATTATTTCTATTATAATTTTTGAAATACCATTATTTTAAATTGTTCAAGATAAGTAATTAGTAATAAAAAGGGAGGTATGTTACTTATTCCAGCTAAATTATTAGGTGCATAGTTTGATATCCATTCCAGTGTTAAAAGTTAGATTTGATTTCATACTATGTAGTCTGTATATCGATAACTGACAGTCTAGACCATTGCTGTGATTGATAAAATGGCGTCTTGATATTATAGAATGCGGGACATGCGCTGCACAGGCTTAGACTGTGGGCAAAAGGCAGCTGATTGGATGAACAGATATTTGAAGAAGGATGGAATGCGTCTTGTATACTGTCATCCAAGTTTATCCAAAAGGGAGATGAGGACCAAGAAAACTTATTTCCCTAATCGTTCAAGACCAGGTGACCAGGTAAAATATCTTTTTCATCGTAAAACACATTCTAGCTGACTTATTCATTTCAAAGGTCAGTTAAAGGTACTCTCCACATGCTTGAAAGTCCTCCACAGTCATATTTGCACCCTGCCAAGTTTCTCATAATGCCCAATTCAGACCTTAAAGTCAATAAAATCCTTTTAATAGAAGTTTTTATTGTGAAGGGTACCTATGTGTCCTTATTATCGTTATCAGAAATTGTGATAAAGTTGTTTATCTTTTTTAATTTTATCCAGCACCAATTTATAATTGTTAGAACTTATGTTTAAATATAATGGAATATTCAGCAGTGAAGATCAAGTCGAACACAGTTCAGTTTTCCCTTTCATCACATATTATCCTACAGTTTTTACTCTAAGAAGACATCACCACTGCTTTTCAGGCACTCTATCCAGACTTTAGTGCCTTCCTATTAATGTCAGAAGCTTCTGTGAAGAATGTCAACAGTAACCTGCCGGAAGGGAAAGAAGTTTACATGCGAACTTTCCGTCCAAATATAGTTGTC